ACGGGCATTTTGAATATAATGTCATGCCTTTTGGACTCACGAATGCACCAGCTGCTTTTCAACATCTCATGAATGATGTATTTCGTGAATTCTTAGACAATTTTGTCGTCTGCTACCTAGACGATATCCTGATTTATTCTAAGAATGTTGAAGAACATGAAATACATGTTCGTCAAGTATTACAAAAACTTAGAGATGCAGGATTGTACGCCAAGATGGAAAAGTGTGTATTTCACACTACTCAAGTTGACTTTTTAGGATACATCATTCCAAATGATGGTCTTATGATGGATTCTAAGAAAGTCCAAACAATCATGGATTGGAAGATTCCAAAGACTGTAAGAGATGTCCAATGTTTCTTGGGATTTGCCAATTACTATCGGATCTTCATCAAAGACTTCTCACGAGTTGCAGCTCCACTTACACGCTTGACTAGTAAAGATAAATTCCAATGGAATTAAGAAGCGGAAGCAGCATTTGAAGCCTTGAAGACATCGTTTGTCTCTGCACCAGTCTTATATCGTGTTGACTTTTCCAAGGCATTTTTTATAGAAACAGACGCATCGGATTTTGCCTTGGGTGCAGTTTTATCACAAATGGGAACAGATGACAAACTTCATCCGATAGCTTTTCATTCAAGAAAATTCTCAGCAGCCGAGATCAATTATGAGATCCACGATAAAGAACTTCTTGCAATCGTGGATTCTTTTCAAGAATGGCGTCATTATCTAGAAGGTGCTTCTAGTCCAGTCATTGTGTATACAGATCACAAGAACCTCGAGTATTTCATGTCAGCACGCGTGTTGAATCGTCGTCAAGCTCGTTGGAGTATGTCTTTGTCAAGATTCGACTTCATTATCACTTATCGGCCAGGAAAACAACAAGGTTTGTCCGATGCCCTGTCTAGACGTTCTTATTTTGCACCAAAAGAAGGAGATGCAGCTTTTGAGCAACAAAGAACGGTCCTCTTGAAACCGGAGCAATTTCATCTCCGAGCAGTGAAATCAACATTGACTGTTGATTCAACTTTTCTCAAGCAAATCCAGTCCAGTGTGTCCTCAGACCCTCTTGTTCATGATATCGAAAATAATTCTTCCAAGTCTCATGATCCTTCTAAGTTCGAGTTCAAGAATAATCTATTATATTTTGAAGGACGCCTATATGTTCCAGAAGGAAAAGCACGTTTGCGTGTTCTTCAAGCACGTCATGACTTTCCAGCAGCAGGGCACTTTGGATATAATAAGACTTTGGAACTCATATCAAGAGATTTTTGGTGGCCACAAATGTGGAAGTCAGTCAAAGACTTTGTACAATCATGTGATATTTGTTCAAGATCAAAAATTCCTCGACATCGACCTTACAGACTTCTTCAGCCATTACCTATACCAGAACAACCATGGTCTTCTGTTTCTATGGATTTCATCACAGATCTTCCAAACTCAAGATCTTATGATTCTATATTTGTGATAGTAGATCGTTTCACCAAGATGGCACATTTTATGCCATGTACAAAATCTATCACAGGTGAAGAAACAGCTAAGCTTTTCATTGATAATATCTATCGCTATCATGGATTACCTAAAGATATCATATCGGATAGGGGAACTCAATTTGTGTCGAGATTCTGGAGGACTCTTTTCAAGATTTTAAAAGTGGACATAAAGCTATCTTCAGCTTTCCATCCTCAAACTGATGGACAAACAGAGCGCGTAAACCAAGTCTTGGAACAGTATTTAAGGTGTACCATCAACTACCAACAAGATGATTGGACAAACCTTCTGCCATTGGCAGAGTTTGCTTATAATAATACGGTACATTCTTCCACGCAACAAACACCTTTCTTTGCCAATTATGGCTATCATCCACGACTTGATACTTTTGATTTTTCAAAAGTTGATAATCCTGCAGCAGAAGATATGGCAAATCGGTTGTCAGAGTTACATGCAATAATGAAGGCGCAGTTGAAGAAAGCTCAAGAACGACAAAAGATAAATGCAGATGTATATCGTAAAGAGCAACCACAAATCAACGTGGGTGATAAAGTATGGCTACTTCGTCGCAATATCAAGACCACTCGACCTTGTGACAAATTGGACTATCGTAGGCTTGGCCCCTTTTCTGTTTCTGAACAGATCAACCCAGTTGCATATCGGTTACATCTACCGGAGTCAATGAAGATCCATCCTGTATTCCACGTGTCTCTTCTTGAACCATATAAGACAGTGGATATACAAGGAAGAAGACAAATGCCACCGCCTCCTATAGAAGTAGATAATAATGAAGAATTTGAGGTGGAAGAGATATTAGACTCAAGGCGGCGCCGAAATAAGCTGGAATATCTTGTTCATTGGTGCGGATATGATATTAGTGAGCGCACATGGGAGCCATCCAGGAATCTAGCAAATGCATCAGCTAAAGTCAAAGTTTTTCATCAACGACATCCATCAAAACCAAGATGAAAACCTCTCTTATAAAAGAGACAAGATTGAGGCAAGATAACATTCAATTTCCTATCCTTGTTTGTAACTTCTTTGCATTTTGTGACGCTAATTAGATGGAGAGCCAACTACCAGCGGATTCAATTCAAGAACCTTCGTTTGCTGACTTACCGGATGAGACATTGCGATTGTCACAACCTTCAAGACGACGCAACCGAGATGAAGACCCTCAAGAACGACATGTTCTTCCTCGAATAGATGGTGAGATACAACGCGTTTGGTATCACGACCTTGGAAGAGATTCTCGATGTTTGGTGATATTATTGGAGATAGGAACGACTCCTGATGGTGTTTCAAATGTATTATTTGAAGGAAGTTATGAAGGCCTCAACAGTGATCAAATAACAGGGTGGTCTTCTCGCCCTGGAATGGGACACTATCGATGGCTAAGAGGACCCATCAACTATCTTCGAAGAGAACAAAGATCAGAGTATGTAGCAAATACAATTCGCCACATATTAGATTTTCTCAATATATAATCACCGCTCCTCGTGGAACTCGTCCCTAGAAGGGGGGGTAATGTCACGGACATACATATAATTACCTATATGAATAGATAAAAGTATGTAAAAGTAGATAAAAGTAGGTTAATTGTGTAATATCTTCTAGAGAAGCTTCTTAGAAGCTTCATAGACGCTGCTTTGACTTTATAGGAGTCTATAGTTGACTTTTAGGTTAGAAACTTGGTCAACAAGTTAGCCATGTGCCACGCATGTTGGAAGCTTAAAGAACAAGCTAACTACGTGGTCCATCCATAGAAAACTTGCCTTGCAAGCAAAGGCATGTGGCCTAGAAAGTCAACATATACTGGAGGTCTTATAGAACATCGCCACGTGGCTTCTAGTTAGATAGTATATATAGAGGCAAGAGTGAAGCCCTCTTCACTCTTGTCAACTCCTTTCTTGCTTCTAGTCTAGTTTCAAGGGTCTCTAATTTTCTTGTATTTTGGCAATAGCCATTCCAGTTTCTTTCTTAATATACATATTTCTATTTTGTCCTATTTCTTTTTGAGAAAAGTCTCATTTATTCTTTAGCTTTCATCGAGTTCTTGTCCTTGACAGAATGGCAAGTACATCAATACTACATCCTATAGACAAAAGAATTCATTCAAGTCCTAAACAAAGCCACTAGAATCCCACCAAGAAAATTTGAACAAGTAAAGATCATTCTCACCTTTTCTGTAAAGGACAAAATTATCTCTTACAACTCCCCATCCTTGCCAAAATCTTACTATAAAGTATGGTTCATTGGCTTGGTTCTAATCCTTCATCTCCCATAGATTTTCCTTGATTGAAAATAAAACAATGCAAGTAGTCTGAAGGATTGCAACTTCTATGCATACACAACAAAATTAGGCTATTGCATCAACTTAGTAAGACAACTTAGAAGAATGTATGCAATACAATATCTCAAATCAAGGAGCTATAACTTTCTAAAATGCCAATAATTCTTTTATAAAATTTGATATCCATGGATTCTTCAAAACATTACTGCTATATACTACCTAACTTTTGTGGGTAGACTCTTGATCAACAAATAACAATAATAAGTAAGATGAGAGAGATATTATTATGTTTGCAACAACTTAGATATAGAAACTACCAAGTATATATCAATGACTTACTCAAGTATACCATGGACATGCTTTAGCAAATTGAAGATCAAGGCCAACATCACAAACTTCTATACCATGTGAACACATGTTTTATACAACCTCTTCTACGAACCTTGTAATGTAAGACCATGTTCAAAAGTATTTTGAAACTCCAGCAAGAAATGCACCATAAATAAAACCACCACGTGAAAAATCTTGAAGACAATTATATTGTAGAACTTATGAGTACAAACATGTGGATACAAGCTCAATCACACAACATTCAACATAGGTACAGCCTTCTTCTACTCATAGAAAATCATAATCCATATTGGTATAGAATGCTGGAGCTCAATTTCAAGATCAATCAATCACACACCAAGATACAAGCCATAGTAAACATGTTTTGAAAAATATAGGCACAATAAGGTATTTTCTATCAAGATATACAATAAGCAAACATAACTTGATAGAAATTTCTTCCACCACCCATTTTCTTGCTACAACACCTTGCCACTATGCTCCCTTTCAAACCATATTAGTTTTTGGTTTAGTTGTGTGGATGGCTTCTAATATTCCATATTCTGAGAGCATTTTATTAGTGAGTTTGACAAATTCACAACATTATTTAGGTGAAACTTTGATGAACATTTGGCTACAACGGGCAACACACGTGTATTAGAAATCAATGAACGGGCAACACACGTGTATTAGAAATCAATGAACGGGCAACACACGTGTATTAGAAATCAATGAACGGGCAACACACGTGTAAGATCTAGACCTGAAAGCATTCAACTGTGTGATAAAACTTTGCTAAAAATACACGTTATGGAAGGCATTCAATTGTCTGGCACCTAAACAACAGCATCGACAAAAAATGAATATATAATACATAAAAAGCTATTGAGCCACCATTGAATTGTGCAATAAATATGATACTGATTGTTGCCGACGCTAGCAACTTTTTCATTTCGCTGATTTGGGTGCTTGGTGAATGTGGAGTTCTAAGACTTCATTCTATTGTTTCGCTGCTCTAGAGATACAATTCTTCCGGAGCCTTTTGGCAGTGATCCTCTCGTGTGTGCGAACGGAGGATAGTGGACATGGACCTCGGCAGCGCGCATGAGGTAAATGGTACCTGTGATAATCCATTTTCAGCTATTTGTTGGCCGGATTTCACTATCATCTTCTAATGATTTGGAAATTGTTGTTAAATCTTAAGAAGTCAGCAACTTGGATAGCTGGAAAGGGATTTTTAGGGTTTAGTGTACTTGTTGCATTCCTGCAGTTGTGTTGCCGATGCGAGGAATCTGTGCTGTGATTTAAAATGTAACCTGTCTAATCATGAGAATGATGCTCAATTGGCGATCAGCAGGCAGAATTCGGGAAGAAGTCCTGGCGACGAAGGGATGTTGTGCGCATTGGGTGTGGCGCAGGGTTTGCTGGAGACAGGCCTAATGCAGCACTTCGCCTTCTTCAACAAGTGCCTGACATGCATTACCTAGTGCTGGAATGCTTGGCAGAGCGCACATTGTCAACCCGCTACGAGGCCTTTGTTGCTGGTGGCAAGGGCTACGATCCCAGAAGTACGCTTCAGTCTTTTCTCTTGTTTGGACCGAGCTTACTTATCTTTAGCTTAGACCCTAACCCTGCGTCTGGCTTTCTTCACATGCTGCAAGTCATTCTTACCTGAGGTTTTCAATTTGATTGTGGAGCAGTTTCAGAGTGGATGCGTTTGCTACTACCTGAAACAGCGAAACGAGGAGTTTGCCTGATCACCAACATGGGTGCCGGTGAGTTGCTATTGAATAATTTTCATGGTTTAGGGTTTAGACTGTACAAGTGGTATGATGTAAGCAATCGAGAGGAATCTGAATCAGGGATGGGGGTATTTGGCTAGCGTGCAGTGGATCCTTTGGGCGCACAGGAAGAAGTCCTGAAACTGGCTGCTGAACTGGGTCATTCAATCACTGTAGCTGTGGCATATGAGGTTCTGGATACACATTCAGGTCTTTCAAAAATCTCTACAGGTTTCCTTGATGCTGGTGCTTGAGTCTCTTTGATATTGACCATAATGCACAGTTCTGTTAAATAATTGAGTGTAATTTCGTTATTTTCGACTTGTTGTGATGCAGTGAACTCTGAGCCGACTTATTTCGAGGATGAGGTTGGGGTGAGTCGCTGAGGAGCTGCCAGTTTCTCATCTGTGTGGTTTCTTTTTGTGATCAGCTTCAATAATGTTCACAAGTCATGATCTTACAGCCGTAACAGCCTGGATGATTCAACGGTTGACTTTTAAGTATTCTTGCATTTATTCTAAAATACGTTCGCTTGCGTTATCGTCAGGGATGTAGCACATACCTCGGAGCAGCTCCATTAGTGCAGGCATTAGAAACATCAAAACCAGATGTGCTCATCACATCACGTGTAGCTGACGCATCGCTTTTCCTTGCGCCTATGGTAAACTATTTATTTTTTATTGATCAATGACGGTAGATGTTACCATATTGATGTTAAAATCCCATGAAACTGTTAATATCAAAAGGACAAAATAGAAGGATTCATGTTTTGAAAAAGCTACATTGTATATTATTTATTAGTTGATTTTCATTTGCAGATTTATGAACTGGGTTGGAAGTGGGAAGACTGGGAGTGTCTGGCTCAAGGGACACTTGCAGGTCATCTCCTCGAGTGTGGGTGTCAATTGACGGGTGGATACTTCATGCATCCTGGTAATCATACTGTCGTCTGAATTCCCCTCAGGCATGTTTTGTTGACGACACTTCCGTTGAAAACTATCATGTAACTGGCTGTTCTTTTTTGTCCCATTTTACAGCTGATCCTCAACGGTCTTTCTCCCTCGGCCAACTACTCCAAACATCGCTGCCTTATGCCGATGTGGCTTGGGACGGTGCAGTTACGCTGGGCAAGATAGAGAGTAGTGGAGGGGAGCTCAGTATTGCCACATGTACTCAACAGCTTCTCTATGAAATTGGCGACCCTGCAGGATACATTACCCCAGATGTGGTATGCGTATCCAGCAAAATCTGACGATCATCTATGCAAGCATCAGTGTTGCAATATAACTATTCTGGCAAGTGATTGTACTTTAGTTGTTTTATGAAATCAGATTATTAACAGTTCATGAAACAAAGTTCTATTCTGCTTTTCAGGTTGTGAACTTCAGCCATGTCAGTTTTGAGCCCCTTTCTGCAGATCGGATCATCGCCAAGGGCGCACAACCTGCAGCTCAATCTGCGCCCAAAGAACTCCTACGGCTAGTTCCCAAGGTGAATGCCTCACGGGTCTTCAAGCTTGCTACTACATTCCTTGCAATTTTTTTTCTGGGAGGAGCAGAGGCTTGTCTACCAATGTCTGCAGCAGTATATTAGTGGTGAGGGCTGAGTTTATATGTAATCATGTAATTGCAGCATTGTGGGTGGAAGGGGTGGGGAGAGGTTTCCTATGGAGGCAGATCATGTGTGGAACGAGCAGCTGCTGCCGATTATTTGGCAAGTCGTTCGACCTCATAAAAAACTTGTATATAGCCACGCCATTAATCGTGATTACGGACAAAAATTGTCAATGAAAATTATGTCGCTCCGCCTCTATTTTCCATTTCATTGGGTTCTGGAACAATTATTTTAGGTGGAGGCTGTATAAGATAGTAGTGAAAATTACAGGTTTATTGGGTTTGAATTAGGCTCAAAAAATGTCCAAAGTTTTGCAGGTGCGAGCGTGGTTGGAGGAGACATATTCTGGAGTAAGTTCCTGCATCCTTTCATACCATGTAGGTCTGGATAGTCTTCAAATATTTCCTCCAGGCGTGCCAACTTCAGGAAGGCCGGTCATGAACGAGGTGCGTTTGCGCATGGATGGACTTTTTGAGTCGCAAAAGCAGGCATCCAAGTTCATACAGGAGTTCGAAGCTCTCTACACCAATGGTCCTGCAGGTGGCGGTGGAATAAGGTCAGTCAGTCGTGAATCATGGCATTGTAGGGATTCTTCTGGAATCCTTCTCTATCACCATCTAGTCACTGAATTTGCTTAAATATGCATATGTCGAATTTAGTGATCGATAAGAAAATTGAATCTACTATATTGATTGACCTTTATTGAGTGATGGCAGAACGGGACTTAATCACGAGATACTCCTCCATAAATCCTTGGTATGAACTGAGTTTTTCTCCACTATTTTTCATATTCGGATTGTGTGTCCTTCAGATGTCCAAACCTTATTTCATTCTTTCTAAGAGCGATAGAAGGTCTTGATGCAATATGCTGATTCCAGGATTTGTGCAGATCTCACGTGAGCAAGTGCAATGGAAGACATCTGCATGCCATACTGATCCTCGCAGCTCTAATTTGCCTTCTAGTTCGAAAACACCTTCTAAGCTTCCTGGTAGAATTGTCTTTTTTTACAATCATCTTTCATTGGGATATTTCGTTAACTGTTAACCACAAAAAAATCAGGTTTACGAGCTCTTGTAAGATGTTTATGAGGTTTAGAAGTGAACTTCAGACCCAAATGATACTTTTGCATTGTAGGTGTGAGCGCTACAGGGCGAAGTAGTTGCCCACACCAGCTGCAGGCATCACCAGCGCCATCAGCTGTAAAGCTACCGCTGTATCAAGTAGCGCACGGCAGAACTGGCGACAAAGGCAACCAACTTAACGTGAGCATTATTCCTCACTGCCGGGCAGATGTAGCTCGCCTGCAGCGCATCATCACCCCATCTTGGGTAGTTTTAGCAATGAAACATCTTCTCGTGAATCATTCTGGTACTTCCGTCGATTTTGTGAAGGCGCCCATGTCAAACAATTTACAGGAGAATGAAGATGTTACAAGGTTGTTGCTGTTGATGGAGTCTTTGGTCGAGGTCTATGAAGTGCCAGGAGTAGCGGCATTGAATGTTGTTGTGAAGGACGTACTGGATGGGGGGGTCACTTGCTCTCGGAGGCTGGATCGGCACGGTAAATGCCTTTCTGACCTTATTTTTAGCCAGATTGTCGTTCTGCCGGAGTAGGGAAACTTCCTTAAGCTGCGTTGCGAGAAAGATGTCAAGTCTTTGTAAGATTTTATGAACGGGATTTATTGATTCCTATCATTCCAGGGTTAGAAATATTAATCCTCACTGCATACATGCATAGTAGATGAGCTCTATAGAATTCAGTAGCTCCTCTCTGTCCCGCAAATCATCTAAGCTTACAATATCATACTTGTACAAACATGCTGCAATCTTCTTGGGCTTATGTAATGTACAGATTCCGCTGAAAATTCTGCAAAATTATCTGATTGTCGTTTCCTCTCGTGAAAGCATTAAAGAGATTCTTGCCGTCCTCAGTATCAAATCTGTTTTTTGGTATGACCAGAGAATTCTTGCATGGCGTTTGATGCCGCACCATTTCGTTGCATCCACGGTACCATCCTGCAGCATCGTGTCTTCATCGAAGTGAGAAATATCGTTAGAAACAGACTTAACGGTTTCAATAACGTTGGGTGGCATGGTTGCTACCAGGGAGTTTGGCACCCATTTGCTGCCACGAAAAGAGCGGCACTTCTTGCAAAGTCTGGCACAGCTTTTGACCTCGTTGCCCTTCATGTTTGGCCTCATGCGTGCCTGGTTCTCGACGCAGTTCAGGAGCCTGTCGGCCTAGCCCGCGCCGTTTCCAGATGCTAAGTCTGTCCCTCCCCGTGGGTTTATTTAGTTAATGGGTGGGTCTGTTTAGAAAAACTTTAATATTATTTGTATTTTTCCTTATTTAACATTCATTTTTGCATCATAATTTTAAATTTTATATAATTTATACATATATATATATATATGTAGAGAGAGAGAGAGAGAGAAACGTTAAAATGATCCACCCATTTATTAAATGGATCCATCTTATTGTAGAGATCGAGGGGAATGAGGGAGGTTGGAATGAGAGTAGGGAAGGGGGAAAGGAAAATGGGGGGGGGAGGGGGGGTAGGATGAAAAAGGTTGGAAATGGAGGGAGTGGGAATGAGGACCATGATTATAATAATGTTTCTAGAGATGATCCATTTTGCTAATGATGGATGTAATAGGGTGGGTTGATTTAGTAAATGGGTGGATTATTTTAACATTTTCTATCTATCCTTGTATATATATTTCATATTTTTTAATTATCAAAGTATTTTTATTTTTATAAAAAAAGAAAAGATAAATAATTTTTTTATTGTCAATTAAAATTATTACATAGAAATATTATGATAATATTAATTTCTTAGCATAATTTATTATTGGTGTAAATATATATATATATATATATATATATGTAGTTATCAGTTTTTATCTTTTTGTATTAAATTTTTTAAAGTTACATTAAATAATATTTTATGATTATATATTAATTCAAACAAAATTTCATCAATGTATTGTTAAATTTTATTGGTACATTAGTTTTCTATCATAGTATCTATATTCGGAAGAATGATTCATGTTGTGCGTGATCTTATAATATTGATTCTATGAAAAATATTAGTAAATTAAGTCTACATACTTCTACAAAAAAATTAAAATAGATCATTTATTAGTTATTATTTATTTTATTTTATCTATAAAGAAGTATTTTTGGATCACATATATTATAATTGAGCAATTGGACATAGTTTAGAAATATCTTCTTCCTTCTTTGTTGTGATAAGTATTATAAAAACCAATTAAAAGTTAATAATATGGATATAAGCATGTTTTAGTAATGATTTATTTATAGAAATAAATTCTAAATATGGTAGTTAAAAATTAAAATAGTTGAAAAAATATACTTTCTATTTATATCTCTAACATCATGATTAAATTACAACTTTAATTTAAAAAATCCCTATTATGTAAAAAGTAATTAAAGAACATTATTTAATCTAATAATATAGTTTTAACAAAAAATTGTAATATTAAGACCATATATATATATATTTATATTTATATATATCAAAATTTGGTAAAAAAGAACTCAAGAAATATTTTTTCTAAATACAATTCTATAATTTGTGTAGATTAAAATCATTTTTTAGTAAATTCACCTTTTTAAGAAAAAAAAAATCCTACGTCCACAAATATAATTACTCCTTTTCTAAATATTTTTTTAAAGAAAAAACTGTATTTCTTTCTTGTCTGAAAACAACAAAATCTTTCACTTATGTCCATATTAAACAGATCTATATGGAAAATTAGATTTGAAGACACATACAAGCACCTTGTTTAGTTTTAAAAAATAGGACAAAAGAATGTTGAGTATAAACGTTTAATAATGGTAGTTTCATCACTTCTAAAAATATTAGTGTCAAGTGTCTAGCCATCCAATGTTTAATAGAACTGTTAATTGAGGAATCAAAACCACATTTTGCTTCATAGTGTCCCAGCCTCATCTACCAAAGCACCTTTGAGAACCCAACAATACCACCCTGAAGTTACAAATACTGCCACCAAAAAAACAATACTAAATTGATGACATCATCAACAAACCCCACATTTACATCATTAATGACTCAAAGTAGAAAGCCTTGCACCCACCTCTACAACATCAATACCAATATTACAAAAAGAGCCAAATACATCATCTTTAAATTGTTACTAAACCATAAGACTAGTGGTCATACAAGGCATAATCACCCTCTTATTCACAATTCTCTTCAACACCCTTAAGGAACAATGTCACAAATTACCCAAAAAAATATATACAAATGTGATGATGAGGGTTTATTCTTAGTTAATAAAAAGAACAACATTCATGTAGGCATAACTAATGCTGTGTGCATCCGTACCCCAAAAAGGAAAGAGAATTAAGAGAGACCCCAGCCATCTGTGGACCGGGTCGGGTCGCCAGGAATCGGCCACTGGAGCCCGTCATTAATGAGGAACGGGTTCCATCAGAGTGGGTTCAGAGACCCGTGGTAAACCCACCGTTAACCCCCTCCAAACCCGTCCCGTGATTCGTCGCAGCGCACCCGCGCCCTCAAAACCGTCGACCCGTCCTCCCACTGCTCTTCAACTCCCCTTATGGCGTCTCTTTAATCACTGCCTCGCGTCGTGTCGCGTCGCGGCTGCGCTTCTCCGATCAATTCCCCTCACGATCCACGATGTTTCCATTTCATTTCGCCTCGTTCTCGAATGTGGGTCTTTTCAGAAATTTTAAGGAGGTTTTGCAGGGACCTGATGCTCGTTTCCTGGGCGAAATTTGAGATGATGTGACGGAGAACCGAGAAGCTTGTTTGAGACTCACGAGGGAGTTGTCAGAGCGTTGCGGAGTGGCAGAGAGGGACGGGGGGCATAGCCGTCGTTGCCACCCTGTCCTTCTCTGCTCAATCGTTCGATCGTTCGATCGCAGCTTTGGCCTCGGGCTCTGGGTGCTCTTGTGCTCTCGAGCCGCGAGATAGAGAGAGAGGGTATATGGTTGCTGCTCGCAGGGAGTGGGGAGGGTGAGGTGGTGGAGCAAAGCTCCCCCCGTAGCTTGTAGCATGGGCGGGGATGGACTGTGAGGGGAGTACAGGGGGCTTGAGACGTGAGGAGTGAGGCGTCGTGAAGGAAAAAGAAATTCTTGCATCATGAAGGCGAATGCGGGGCTGTTGGCGGGTTCGCACAACCGCAACGAGCTGGTTATTATTCGGCAGGAGGGCGATGGGGTAAGGGGGAGCTTTTCTGAGTTCTGCCTGTCATGCACACCATGATCAATGAGAGGTAGAGCTAAATTTAGGCTACTAGAGTCGCAATTGGTCGGAATGCTCCTGTTGAAAGAATCGGACTTCGTGTGGAAACTGTCCAGGTGAGGTGAGGTGAGGTGGAAATGTTGCCCTCGTCAGATATACATTTCTTCTTTTTAGGGATGGATATGAGAGGAAAGTCGATGGGATTTCCAAATGTAGTCCGCGTCGATGAGTTTCAGCTGTAGGTTCTGTCGGCGGTGTAACCTACCCACTGTAACTGCACGTTTATGGTTGGATTCGTTGTTGCAATTAGTTTCGGTGGATTTTGAAACACGTGCTTGTCAGTCAGCCGCGGCTTATCTGAGGCGTGTCAAAGCTTCGCCGGAGACAGTAGCAGATTTTGCTTCGAGGCCTGTTGAAAGTGCACAAATAGGGACGACAGGGTTGCGAATGTTTCTACATGCGTCTTATTTACATTCCAGATTCTTCATAAATAGATGAGCTCGAGTTTGTTGCATCTCTTACCGAATATTACTTTACCTGACAGTTCCCAGGCAGACATTTTTCTGAGTACCTAGTTGTGAAGGTCGTATTTCTGTATACCCCATCAACAGAGCATTGAGAATGGCCACCGTGCTCTGCACTCAGTTCCGTAAAATCACATGCGAACTGAAGTTTTCATCCACCGTACGAACACTTTCTTGTCAGTAGATCCGTCCTTATCCATTTTAGTGTCTCAATCTCAGAAGCTAGACAACGAAAACAAGACACGTAGCAATGATACGAAGTAATTCCCACTGCACCTCGAGTTCACAGCGGTACATCTATTTATCTAAATTTATCAAAAGCTGTTAATTTGTGTTAATGGAATGAGGATAGCTAATTTGTGACCCTTCAAGTATCGAAATGAGTCTGGTTCGCATTAGCATGCATCAAGTACGAAATCCACTCCTCTTCACAACTTCCATGAGTGCAGAAACCTCCCATCAATCCACAGTAACATTCAAGGAAACTGTTGCTTTAAAGACCTCTGCAGGAAGAGAAGATGTGTGGATATCTCTGAATAAGTCAGCAAGTGCATGTTGTGAAACCAGTTAATAGGCTCATGGATTTTGGACATTATATTATGCAGCCAAAGCCGTTGAGTTACGTGAACAGCCACATTTGTCAAATTTGTGGTGACGATGTGGGATTGACCGTGGAAGGAGAAATGTTTGTGGCGTGCAATGAATGTGGCTTCCCGGTGTGCCGACCTTGCTACGAGTACGAACGGAAGGATGGTACTCAGGCATGCCCTCAATGTCGGACTCGCTACAGACGCCACAAAGGTGAGATACTTCTGGACCATGTCTTCTCGGACATTTCTGATCTGTGGTGTCACAGCGCCAGTCCGCAAAATGTCCCATTTGACACTTGATCGTGGTATAAATATTCTAGAATGGAGACTAAAATGACAGTCTATACAGAATGATATTCGAGGGTCTCATTACTTCTGGTGCAACACGCCCATCTTGGTTGCCCCGTGTCTGAGCTTGTTAGTTCGTTTGTTAATTTACTATTCAAGGGGCGGTCTGATGCCATTCGGTCAATATCATAACGATTCAGAGGGTTAGTGGTCGAGGGATGTGTTTGTGGTAATACGTTGTATTCAGTGGTTGACATGCACTTGTGGCTCCTTGGACTGAAGGGAGTCCTCGAGTGAAAGGAGACGATGAAGAAGAGGACACCGACGACCTAGACAACGAGTTTAACCACGCGGTCAATTTGGACAACCATGACAAACAGCAAGTTGTGGACGAGATGCTTCACAGCCAGATGGCTTATGGTCGTGACACGGAAGTGATGCTATCTGCAACGCAGCCTCGGTATCCCCTTCTTACAGATGGGCACCGTCACATGGTACGTTTGGAAATTTTTGGCAGCAAGAAGTTGTGATGACCTGGTTTTTTGATCGCTAGGAAGAATTTCTGGGGCTCTAATTTTCCTCACGTAAGCGGGTGACCCTACGTTGTCAGATTGTATGCATATCGGGTGTGGTATTCAAATTTGTGTCAAGCTGCGAAATGGATTCGAAGTCAGTGATTTGTGTGTAGAGGTGGTGGTGTTTTAGGTCTAACAGGGCTAATGAAAAATTGCACGCGCAGGTGTCTGTTACAAGTGAGTCAAATGCAACATCCCCAGATCATCAAGCTATTTTCCATGTTGCGGGCGGGAAAGGATCTCATACCGTTTCTTATAGCGACATTGGCAGCCCAGGTGAGACAATGGTAATCCACGATTTTGCATGCTCAAAACATTCCTTGTGGCTAATTTCGTCTGATCGACGCCTGGGGTAATCGTCGACTAACGGAATGCATGTTCGCAACAGCCAGATCATTGGATCCGGCGAAAGATTTGGGGTCGTATGGGTATGGGAGTATCGCTTGGAAGGAGAGGGTGGAGAGCTGGAAGTTGAGGCAGGGAATGCAGATGACAACGACAGCGGGAGGCCAGCTTCAAGCCAATGGAAAGGGTGGGGATGATGGCAGCCACCAGGACTGCTCAGATCTACCCATGTAAGGTTTATGGTGGAAACTTGTATGCAAGGTTGGGTCGGGTGTGTGTTCAAAGTCCGGGTCAGGGGACTGGGTTGCGGTTAAGAAGTTTTCTCGTTATGCTTATTTGACTGTGTTTCCAGAAAAGCCTCTGCAGGAAACGAAGCTCTGAATAACCCTTGTGCAGGTGTGAGGTGTGTTGGTTGACTTGATGTTAGAACGGTGCATCTCTTTCTTGGATGTCGCAAAGCAACAGGAAACATGGAGATCCGCAAGTGACTTATTCTGGCGTCGAATGGGTTTAGGGAGTGGATGAACTAACTGTACTTGTCGATCACATATTGTAGAATGGACGAATCGAGACAGCCTTTATCAAGGAAAGTTCCATTTCCATCGAGCAAGATCAACCCCTACCGGATGATTATCGTAATTCGCCTGGTTGTGATTTGCCTGTTCTTCCGATACCGTATCTTGAACCCCGTGAACGAAGCGTACGGACTTTGGCTGGTGTCGGTGATCTGCGAGATTTGGTTCGGCATATCGTGGATCCTGGATCAGTTCCCGAAGTGGCTACCCATCAACCGTGAGACTTACCTAGATCGACTTTCCCTGAGGTACGTTCTGTGGACCTCGCACGCAGCTGTGACAGGCAGAGTTTGTTAAGGCACGAAGCTTAGGCATTGCAAGTGATTGGGTTCGATTGAACACTTGGCAGTGTAGGATCCTAGTTGGTGGACTCCAGGCGTCTCCCAATGGCCCGGGAGGGCGCAGACTGTGTTGGTATGAGAGTGTTACGGCAGTTCCGTTCAATGCTGCTGTAGTTATAAGTCTGCAATTGTCGTCGTGGTCACTAGTAGATGTCGTATGTGGTCCATGACTTCGCGACGTTGTTGCGGGCGTTGGTGCAGGTTTGAGAAAGAAGGGGAGCCGTCTCAGTTGGCGCCGGTGGACATTTATGTCAGTACGGTGGATCCCATGAAGGAGCCACCCCTGGTGACTGCCAACACTGTGCTGTCGATTCTGGCTGTGGACTATCCAGTGGACAAGGTGTCTTGCTACATATCTGATGATGGAGCGTCCATGCTGACCTTTGAGGTTTTGTCGGAGACGTCGGAGTTCGCTCGAAAGTGGGTGCCGTTCTGCAAGAAGTTCAACATCGAGCCCCGGGCACCTGAGGTGTACTTTGCTCTGAAGATCGATTACTTGAAGGACAAGGTGCAACCGACTTTCGTGAAGGAGCGCAGAGCTATGAAGGTGAGGTGACATGAGCTGACCTGTGGACGGTGCCGTGCATGAGAGGAGTTGCATGCTTTTGTTGGTGGATAGGTGATGTTGATCGATCCCCACGGTGCACGCACTTGGATTGCATGCGTTGGCTGTGGTGTTGCAGTTCATGAACACCGTCCGCATTATGTGTGGTGTCGTAGTGGTTCGTGAAGGATCTGCCCGTAGTTACTGATGTGGTGAGAGGGAATGGGTATACACAGAGGGAGTACGAGGAGTTCAAAGTGCGGGTGAATGCATTGGTCGCTAAGGCGCAGAAGATGCCCGACGAAGGATGGACAATGCAGGATGGCACACCGTGGCCTGGGAACAACACACGTGACCATCCCGGAATGATACAGGTTAGTGCGATCCTCCCATACTCCGGCGCAGGTTTGTCCCAATAACAAGTGAGTAGCAGAGGTGGGTATGAAGAGGTAGCTGATGAATGTGGGAGGCTCCGCTTTGTCCTGTTGCCGCGATGCACCTGTTGTGCGACTTGGTGACCGTTTGTGAACGACTGTGTCACGATGGTAGGTCTTTCTGGGACACAGCGGCGGTCATGACACGGAAGGAAACGAGTTGCCGCGGCTGGTGTATGTGTCGAGGGAGAAACGGCCTGGATTCAATCACCACAAGAAAGCTGGTGCCATGAACGCGCTGGTTCGGGTGTCCGCAGTGCTGACAAACGCACCATTCTTTCTGAATCTGGATTGTGATCATTACATCAACAACAGCAAGGCTCTTCGGGAGGCGATGTGCTTCCTGATGGATCCCATCGTGGGGAAGAGAGTGTGCTACGTCCAGTTCCCTCAGCGGTTTGATGGGATTGACAGAAACGATCGATATGCCAACCACAACACTGTCTTCTTCGACGTAAGTGTTCCGATCTGGAATTGGGACTTGGGCATGTGTATGGGTGGAGTGCACCTTAGAATGCCGTCATGCAGTTGGTTCAATGATGGCAGGTTGCGGACGTTGTCCGTGATTGAAACGTGGATGAGTATTGGTGCGGCGTCGTTTATGGACAATTTAGCAGCATAGAGTTCAAGGCGCAGCCCACTAGATGGCATTCTTGTCGATGTCTTGGCATTTATGATCGCCTTTGGGGCATGTAACGATCCAGGCGATTTTCATCTGGTACTGTGCGTGTGCGGGAGATTCACTGGTGGGTACTGGTGATGTGTGGTGCGCAGATCAACTTGAAGGGTTTAGATGGCGTGCAGGGCCCAGTTTATGTGGGTACGGGGTGCTGTTTCAAGAGGCGAGCCATTTATGGTTACGATCCTCCTCCCAAAGATCCTAAAGCATCGAGTGGTCGCAGCCAGAGCGTGTTTCCATCCTGGCTTTGTGGACCCCTTAAGAAAGGACTTCAAAATGCAAGAGCGGGGAAGGGTGGAAAGAAGAGGCAGCCATCTCGTTCTGACTCCAGCATTCCAATCTTCAGTCTGGAGGATATCGAAGAAGAAATCGAGGGTATAGCGTTGTTCTGTAATGCGCTGAGTAGTGGGATTTATTCGTGTTGATCATGAGCTGAGGATTGGGCTGTATCTTCATGAGCGTTGGTCGTCTCTTGTTTTACTATGTGGTGGGGTGTAGTAAGAGTGGGTTAATGTGTGGACGCAGGAATGGACGAGGAGAAATCGTCGCTGATGTCTTCTAAGAACTTTGAGAAACGATTTGGTCAGTCACCAGTCTTTGTCGCGTCGACGCTGATGGAAAATGGAGGCGTGCCTCATTCCGCCAATCCTGGGTCATTGTTGAAGGAGGCCATTCATGTGATCAGTTGTGGGTACGAAGATAAAACGGACTGGGGAAAGGAGGTAAGGTCTGGGATGATGAGGTTGGAGGGTCCATGACGTTTCCTACTCTTTTCATGTGTAGTGCATCTCATAATACACACCGCACCTGAAGAATAGTGGAGGGCGGGGTAGTTGGTTTGTGTCGGTGTTTCCATGCACGATGTACCAAGTACCTAACATCATTGCACCCTGTTTGGTCCGTGGGTTCAGATCGGGTGGATCTACGGGTCTGTGACGGAGGATATTCTGACAGGGTTCAAAATGCACTGCCGGGGATGGCGGTCCATCTACTGCATGCCAGCGCGGGCTGCATTCAAGGGTTCTGCTCCCATTAATTTGTCGGATCGGCTGCAACAAGTGCTGCGTTGGGCTCTGGGGTCTGTGGAGATTTCTCTCAGCCGGCATTGCCCTTTGTGGTACGGGTATGGCGGAGGGAAGAATGGTGGACTGAAATGTCTGGAGAGACTGGCGTACATAAACACGACGATCTATCCACTGACGTCGTTGCCACTGCTGGCGTACTGCGTGCTCCCTGCTGTGTGTTTGCTGACCGGAAAGTTCATCATTCCCACGGTACTGGCCGTCTGTAACTCGTACCTGCTTGAGGCGTTACCGTACTTGATGAATGGCACCCTGAGGATTATCTCGTAGCTTCAGCTGGGATGTGGTTGTGGGTGGAAGGTTAGGCGATGGTCATCCTGACTCGATGCTTGGGCTGCATGTGTGCAGATCAGTAATTTGGCGAGTCTGTGGTTCATATCGTTGTTCATCTCCATTTTTGCGACGGGTATATTGGAAATGCGGTGGTCAGGAGTGGGCATCGACGAATGGTGGAGGAACGAGCAGTTCTGGGTGATCGGAGGTGTATCGGCCCATTTATTTGCGCTGTTCCAAGGGCTTCTCAAAGTTTTCGCGGGTATCGACACTAACTTCACGGTGACATCCAAACAAGCCGAAGACGAGGACTTCGCGGAGCTGTACATGATCAAGTGGACTGCCCTTCTGATCCCGCCCACCACTCTACTGGTGATCAACATGATTGGCGTGGTGGCGGGGATTTCAGACGCCATCAACAACGGGTACCAGTCGTGGGGTCCGCTGTTCGGCAAGCTGTTCTTTGCTTTCTGGGTGATCGTGCACTTGTATCCGTTCCTGAAGGGTCTGATGGGACGGCAGAACCGCACACCCACCATCGTGATCGTGTGGTCCATCCTGCTGGCTTCCATCTTCTCCCTACTTTGGGTGCGCATTGATCCATTCCTGGCAAAGGTGAAGGGTCCCGACCTTTCGCAGTGTGGGATCAACTGTCGATAGGTTCTAATCTAGAATCCTGTGCTCAGGTTATCGGCATGTAAAGTAAACCCCCATTCAGAACCACCCTACATCGTTCTAGCTCGGAAGACGCTGAGATCACTGTTAGCTTCGGCGATCACACCCCTAGTTCTTCAGCATTTGTCTGCTGCACTGAGGCTAGCGATCAGGATACTGCCATTTCGCCGTGGAAGTTGAGATTGAGGAGGGATCTTCAGCTGGCTTGATAAGTGTACCTGTCGCAGTGGTTCATTTTTTCGGTGGTGTTAAAAATTCTTGGCATTCGGGGATGTGTTTCAAGCTCATGGGAGCTTTCTTTTCACACATCGGCCATGGCCTATATTGTTTTTCTCGTATTATAAACTTCATGTGTGATTTCACAGTGGAGAGTATTTGGGTGGAGTGAACAAGTTTCATGCTGTGAGGGAAGATGAAATGGTGTTTACTTTCAAATAGACTGTTAGATTGATTCTTCTGAGAAGAATGAGAGGGACTGTATTGTTTAATTATTTGAAATTGTTTCTTTCAACGATTAAAAATTAAAATAAACTACTATTATTTTCATTATTATTATTATTATTATTATTTCTGTGACTTTGAAGACACATTTTTCATTTACAAATGCAAAACATGACATTGTTTAGAGTAAATAAATCTTGAGGTAATGCATTGAATAATTCATTGATTCTTTATAAATCTGTCTTTATTTCATTTTAAAAACCTCACATCATTCATAATGAAATTGTTTGATAACTTTGAAGAATTTGTATTTAAATTTTATTGTATCAAGTTGATTACCAAAATTTTACATAATAACATTATTTGTAATATTTCAAAATTGAGTTTAGATTTTTAATATTAGACTAATTTTAATTTTATATTTAGTATTTGAAGAAGAATATTAAATAGATCCATACTTTTATTAAATATACCTATTTTAAATGAAGAATATGGTAATTATGATGAATGTGGTTTTATTTATTTAATTATAGAGAAATAAATGTAGAGATCATTTTTTTTTTCATGATGATTAAAATAAATGAATCAATTTAGTAAAAACTTAGATCTATTTAATATTCCTTCATTTAAATTGTATAAAATTGCTATCACATTACCAAAAAGACTATTGCCACCATTTTTAGTACAATCAAATTCTATGCTATATATTTTCCTTAAATATTTATAATCTAGTAATATAAAAAATTAGGTCTTTGTCGACAAAATAAATAGAGCAAATTTAACCTTATAAACGTGCTAAAAATATCATAACTAAGTATTTACTAATCAAAAATGATTTTGATTTATTTTATATTAAGCTTAATATTTAATCATATCATTATTATTTTTATATGTAAAAATATTTTAGTATATATATATATATATACTATACTTTAGATCAAATAAAGATATTTACATTAATAATTATAGTGATAAATTTTAATTTTAATATATTAACTTAAAATTTACTAATGAACAAAGTAAAAAGGAAAAATATTATATATATATATATATATATATATATCTATATATATGTATATATCCATGAAATATGTTGAAATATCAAGAATATCTTTATATTTTTGATAATAGCAAATATATTCCTAATTTTTGTGATAATTGCAAATCTATTCTTGAGTTTGATAAGGTATAACTTAATTCCTATTTTAGGTGAATCCAGAAGTCAAACCATGTACCATATAAATTTTGGCACTATCCTTTTTTGCACAAGTCAGGCACTCCATGAATCAGATACCACCACCACCATTGCCGTGGCAACACTTCTAGCAACTTTTTATTATATGAACTTACTTATTCCAAAGCCAAGGGCAAAGTGCAACGTGTACAAAAATTCGTAAGACTATTTACTATTATTATTATTATTATTTATGTTTCATTTATAAATTTAGCCTATATAATATAATATATGTAAATAAGTTGATTTAAGATTTAAATTTAATTAAACCAATTTTTTTGATATTTGAATTTTAATACCTATAAATAATGATCCAAATTATTTTTTAAAATATTCACCAAAGATCATTTTACAAGAAAATATATCATAAGTTGTAATTATAAGGATGTGAACTAAAGTTTGAGCCCTAAAGACTTTTTTTACTTTGTAATTAAGGTGTGCAAATGGTACAAAACTAGTTAATGATGTAAGATCAAACAATTGGTGCTTATTCTAAATTAGTCTGTGAGCTTTTGTTTCTTAAAATTACAAAACATTCTACAAACATCTTTTGTAATTTTGTTTGGTATTCTTTTGACAAACCTGTCCACTTTATAGATGACGTAAACTTATTTTTACTATGATGGCCTACCTTTGTACACTTCCCTCATGTTTTAATTGATGTATGGGACCTTAGTATTTCTCTACATAATATTGTCCAACTTTGCCATTACCAAGCAATCAATTGTTACATCATTGAGAAATCATTGTGTTGAACAACAAAACAAATATAATGCATTGGTGTAGAAACTCTATGTTGAATATTCTCAAATGTCATAACAATCAACAAAAGTTAATTGGGATATATTTTCTTTGGTTTAAGTATACATTGTCTTTCAAAGCTTACTCAAATACACAGAATTAAACATCTCTTTAGCTCAAAGTCATGTGCATATGTAGTTCTCAATTTGTAAACAAGATCCTCTCTTTTGTGTTTCTACTGCAACATCTTTCTCTTCATCTACATCAAATATTGAGTTAGCTTCAAATGGTCTCCAAATAACAATCTATTTTTTGCTTATACTAGCTTTTAGTCTAAATCACTCAATAAAGATATAGTTCAAAAATCTATGCATTCTTGGCAGAAAACAAAATATGAATTAAAAAAAGTCAATTACACTTAGTCGCCTCTATGCACTTTATCCTTGGCCTTGAAATAATCCAGCATGTGTCGTAAAGAGCCGATGGAAGTGTTGCTACAACAGTGGCGGCAGCAACATTGACATTTACTTTGTAGAAGGCCTAATTTGTGCTAAAAAGTATTGTGCCAAAATCTATGCAACATATGGTTTGGTTCTCTGATTCACCTAAAATGGGAGTTAGGTTATATCTTATCAAGCTTAAGGATAGATTTATAATTATTATAAAAGTGTAGGATATATTTGCTATTATAAAAAATACAAGAATATTTATGATACTTCAATATATTTCAATATATTTCAAGGATATATATATATATATATATATAATTTTTTTTATAAAAAAATATCAATTTAGCTTATTTTATATAAAAAACTTGTTCAAAATTTAGACTATTTAATACAAAATTTAATAGTTTTTTAAATATGTAATTTTGATTCTAATTAATTTATAGGTAAATCAATATATTTTTAGATAAAAATTTATATTAAATAAATTAGTAATATTTTGATTTATATATATATATATATAATTTAATAGAATCTTCATCAACTATTTCTACAATATGCATGCAATATTGCTTCAAGGGTTTTTTTGGTTATCTTAAAATAATAAGTTTATAAAACTCTTTTCTAAAACTTTAATATTTTAGAAAAACAAAAAAAAAACATTAAATGGTATCTTTTTTATTTGTAATAATTTACTTTGCAATATCTTAATTTTTTAATACTTATATGCATATAATTCTAAAAATGTTAACTATACTTTAAAGTTAGAATTAATGATATATTTTTAAATTCTAACTTTAAAGTATAGTTAACATCATTAATTGGGATAGATACAGATTTGAAAATTTATTTATCAGATTTAATTTTTTAAAAAAATAATCAAAAAAATTATATGGTTATAAAAACTCACATAAATGATAATATTTATTCTATTAATGCATGGACTAAAATATCTACAATAAACATTTGATGAAATCTTATAAATAAGTTTTCTGAATATAGAAATTCGTTTAAAAAAAGAACACCAGTAGTTGAATATAAACAATATAAAATTAGTAACGTGATGTATGACTGAAAAAATTTTTACTTAAAGAAAATACCTAATTTGCACATTGACCCGTAATTAGTACATGTTGATCATATATACTAGAAAAAGAAAACTTAAATGAGTCCAAAATCGAACATCTTATTATCTTAGGTTGATAAATTGTAACTCATAATATAAAACTTGAAATATCAGAATACAAAATTACATTTATTGATTTCATTTGTTGATTTTCGGATTAAAAATATTCTTTAAAATATACAAGTAGAGGTTGAATGTTTAAGGACAAAGACATCCGAGAAGAATCTTAAAATGGATTAAACATGTCAATGTTAAAGCTATCATTTTACAGGTTATTTTATTGGTGCAACCTCCCTCTAAGTCTGTACGTAATTCACACAAAAGAAAATCGCTTTATAGACACATCATACTTTCACGTTTACTTTTATTCCTTTTTTGTGTTAAAGGGCACAAAGCAGGCTGAAGTAGCTGTCATGGTGTATATTTATACGCACACATGATGGGAACGACTATATTTTGCTTCTATATACTCACATTCAATCGAAAATAGTATTAAAAAAAAAAAAAAAAAAAAAAAAAAAACACCAAGTGGAGTAGTAAGTAGGCACGTTAATTTTACAAATTAATTTAGTCGGGGACCGTAATAGGAGCAGATTAACAAGCATAATGTACAATTTTATTTGGACGACGTTCCCTGTGTTGGTGAACAAGACCGAGAACGCCAAGGTCGAGGGGAGCGAGAAAGCAGGGATGGAACCGCTTTCCCACTGCACGCTGATTCAGCGGCAGTGGCGGGGGCGGGGACGGTCTAATTTGAAGACACAAACGAAGAATTGATAGTGAATCGGAAGGTGCTCAGCTGCAGCGCGAGGTATTTGGCCTCCTCCTCTTTCGATTGAATTCGTTCTGCCGTTGCATGGCACTCGTTTCCTTTGCTCGAGGCTCGATGAGCTCGGGCACTACGAGACACAGAACCAGTTAGCCTTCGGAAGCTTGTGGTTGCTTTGGACCAGATCGGATGAGACCTACCGGAGGAGGTTTGATTGTGAGGGAGGTACTTCGGTGTTGCGGAACGTTGATATTCTCGGGGTTGGGATAGGTGTGATCCGGTCGAACGTAGCTGCTGGTCCTCGTATTGAGTGGTGATTTGGTGAGAACAGCCAGTGGAGGTTGTAGCTGCTTTAGCAGTGATGATTCAAGGGAGAATCTCTTAGGGGTGAGTGTGAATGTCGTGTTCGTTTGGACGAGGAGGATGTTGTTGGTAATGCATGCGAAGTGGTTACTCGTTAAATGTTTTGGTTTTTCCCTGAGTCGAGAGTCTGTGCGGATGTTTCTGAGAAGTGAACGGTGCATGGAGTTGTGGGAAGTTGTAGGTTATCGTTGTTATGGTGATGAGTATTGACTGTTGGTTGATTGGTTTCGGCGGTGTTGTGTGAGGTGTGGATCAGATCTGCAGGTGTGGTAACTGTCTGGAGAACAGGTTCTTGACCTTCTCTTAAATTGTGCTTCGCCTTGCTTTAGTGGTTACCCGTGGGCATCTGGCTTGCGAGTGTCTGTAATTTTGTAAGTTGTGGGAGTAACGGGTAGGGGCGAAACAACTGTAGGTATCTCTTCCCCTTGGAAAGCTAGAAGGGTCTGAATGAAGCGAATTCTTGTGCCGAATCTTTGTGATCCGCCTGGGATGGTATCAACTGCACTTGGGAGGTTAGTGTACGTCTTCGAGACGAAATGAAGCATTCAGTAAGTTTTCTTCCCAATTTGGTTTGGAGTTTTCTGTCAATGCACTTGGGAGAGAACCCCTCACTCAATGAGAAATAGGGCTGGAGGAGCAGATGTGGAGAAGATTCTCGTTGTCAGCTACGATTTAACACAAAGGGCGGCATAATTGATTGACTGCCCAGGATGGAACTCATAGAGATCTCGATTCAACCTATTCCTCTATGTCCTTAAGGAATTTGAAATACTTCGGGGGTGAAGCTTGAAGCCTAGAAAACTCGTGCGGCCTTGACAGATGGTTCGTGAAAAATTACTCAGTAGTTTGTTTTTATTTCTCTATCTAATTTCAAATCATGAACAAATACCTCAAAAGTTTTGACAATTTTCTTTTATGTTCAAAAGAGTGAAGTGTATTCATGTAGGGTTATTGATGGATCAGACTTAACAAGTGACTGGAAATTAGTTCATAAAAGCATTATTGATTACATTGCAATAAATTTGAGACAGCTCTAAGATGAAGATGGGACAACGATCTTGCTTTTCGCTGGACGCTGACTCAGTTGAATCTACCTACATGAGCTCCTCGAAGATATTTCCCCGTCCTGAAATCATCTCTGTAAGTAGGTAAGTCGGCTTGACAATTTCTTCTTATTGTCTGATTTCATCCCTTGTCGAAAATCGTACGTCTGCATCTCAAAGATATTTCCACGTCAGTGTGTTACGTATCTCCAACTGTGGCTCATCGAACAGTGCAGCTTCTGACATGAGGTTTTTCTGACTTCCTTTTAGTTGAAGTATTCCAATCCTGTGTGGGCACGCATTGAAATACAAGTTTTTTTTTTTTTTTTTTTTTTTTTTTCTCCTTCGGTTTGAATCAGCTTTACTTCAACAACTGTTCTCTTTTTGTGCAGTAAGATATTGAATGTTAGTCTCTCAAGAGAAAAATTCAGTTCTCCGTCGGTCTCAGATTCGTGGAACATGAAACGGCGAGACAAAACTGTGGAAGATTCTGAGGTTTCGTACACCGACACAGGACTTGAACGGCCAAATCAACAAGGGAAGAGGAGAATCTCGTCGTTGTCATCTCGCAAAAATTTTAGGTATGTATTAAAATTCTGACGTAGAATGAAGCGATTAAATATTCCCAGCCTGCTAGCATCTCTTGGGCAGGACATCTTTTTATTGTAGTTATGATGGAATCGACTTAATCAAACTCTACTTATATTTACAAGGTTGCCTCAATTACGATCCGTCGGTTTTGCTACCTTGAAACGGATTGAATAATTGGTTAGATGCTAGCCAATGATGTTTTCCATCCTGTGAGGGCGGGTTCCCCTTGTCCGCTGAAATACTTGTAAGGGCGACAACATTTATAGAGGCATTACTTGGTTTAAGATCCACATCTTGCTTAGTATAAACACTTGAGTGTCATCTTGGTCGCGGAAACAGGTTTTCAAATCTCTTTTTTACTACCCTCTCTTTATGTTCGCTAGTGCGGTAACTCAGCCTTGGCTTGCTTCTCTTTCCTGTTTGAGACGTGCTGCATTATGATCTGTTGTCGCAGTCAAGGGACGGATGGATGGTTTTTTGGAAAGGTTTTCGATCCTCAGAGCAAGGGAATTCGGCGTTGTAATCGTTTGTTCCTCCTGCTTTGTGCACTGGGCATTGCCCTGGACCCGCTCTTCCTGTCCGTGCTATCTATTAACCCCAAGCTCTCATGCCTATATGTGCAAAAAGGATCTCTTATCGCATTAACAACTTTGCGAGCTTTGATTGACTTCGGCTATTTGTCACAGGTGCGTTGTTGCTTATCGTCTTAATGCTCAAATTTTAACATGTTATATTATTTGAGATATCTCCAAGTATCATGTAGTCGACTTATTCATTCTTGTCTGGTAATAGATCCTTTTTCAGGTTATTTTAGATTGAAATCATCTGGTTAAAATGCACCTTAACGCCGCTGAATCGGTTGTCAGGGTCGCTGCTTTTTGAATCAGATTGTTTTTTCTGATTTCTCAACTTTGTATGTAAACTCTAATGGAAATCCATGTTGTGAGGATGCAAAGGGAGTTTCCTTGTAAGATCACTTGTATCTTCTCAAAGAGTATACTTGAGTGGGTGCTGACAACATCATCTCCTTCCATAGGTTTGGATGCAGTTAAAAACTGCCTACGTTTCCAAAGAATCTTTGGTGCTAGGTCGGGGGGAGCTGGTTTGGGATGCCAAAAAAATTGCCCGAAATTATCTCGTCCCCTTATCGGGATTTGCATTTGATATGTACATTATCCTTCCCGTACCTCAGGTGTGAAAGTTTCTTCAAATGATCCTTGAATTTATTATCTTGTTGGTTGAAATTTGTGTAAACTTCTGCAAATTAAGTCTTCAGTCTCTGCTATGACCATGTTCTAGGCATTTGCGACTAGATATACGATATGTATTTTAAAATTTTTACATTGTGGCTGTTGTTTTTACAGATAATGTTGTGGATGGTCACTCCGCGGTTGATTGAAAGCGGAAGAGATCCTACAGAATGTGTGACATTCATTCTCGTCACTTTCCTGGTGCAGTATTTGCCCAAAGTGGTGCACACAGCTTTGGTGATAAGGCGATTGCAACATGTAACAGGTTATATTTTTGGAACTGCATCATCGGGTTTCTTCCTCAACTTGATCGCCTACTTTATCTCTGCTCATGTAAGTTTTAATTTTACTTTTTTTATCAATAACTTTATTTATGTTGGTTGGTAGATTGCTGAGCCCTTGTTGTCGACTTGCTCTCATGGATAAAGTCACTGTCCTATTTCCACGAGTTCTTCTAAATTGGAGGAGTATGTGCTTTGAAATCATTTTGAGGATATCATTTATGTTAATGTGAGTGTAAGTTCAAACTAAATGGAATTGACGATCTCTTTGAGCCCACCAGGTTGCAGGTTCTTTTTGGTATCTTCTCACAGTTCAGCGAGTGGAGACTTGCCTCAGTTTTCAATGTGGTGGAATGGTCCATTGTCCATCTATACCATTTGCTTGTCCTCTACCGGTATCATTTGGTCACCAGCCAGACGATTCCGCTAGAATCACTTGGGCTCAGAACGCAAATGTGCAAGGATGTTTACAAGCCAAAGCCAATGATTTCTCCTACGGTATTTACTTATGGGCAGTGCCTTTAGTAACTGATGGGCGATTTCTTCAGAAAATTCTTTACCCTCTTTTTTGGGGCATCATGACTTTCAGGTACAAATACATTTCAATTCCAACTGTTTCATAGCCACTATTTTCCGTATTTTCTTAACTATTGCTATTCTAAACGAAGAGAAGCTTAGGGTATTTCTGAAAGGGAAATCACGATGTTTCTCGCAAAGGATGCTCAGTCAGATAATATCACATGATAACAATTTCGAAATTTCTTTTTCTATTCTTCGAGGATTATTCACCGGCCACCTGTAATTTGAAGTTCTGGCCTCGGAAGATATAATTTTGGAGTACAGCTGTTTTAGTGCCCGGAGTTAAATCCTTAGAAAAACGACACAGATCACTGTAAACTGTAATCCTGGACATCCATTCTAACTATGATTATAAACGGTTGCTCGCTCATTGCATTGTGCAAGCTTCAAGTAGGAGTCTATCTATCCTGTTGCTAACGTTTTAATCACATGTCTGCAGTTCTTTTGGAAATGCATTGGTTCCAAGTAACCACTTTTTTGAAGTCCTCTTTTCTATCATTGTAATTACGTGTGGTCTACTTCTCTTTACGCTTCTCATCGGCAATATCCAGGTTCTGATTAAACTTTTTCTAGTTTATTTAGTGTTCCTTCATTATTTTATTTTCCTTGCATGTTCGGCCACGGTATAATGCAGTAGAAGAATGGTTATTCAAACAATATCAATAACTCATTGTTCAAATTGTAGAAACTAAACCAATTCATGAAACTACAGATTCTTGAAAGCCTGGGGATGTGAACACCTACACTAAGAAGGGTGATGAAGAGGTCCGCGTAGTATGTATTGCAATTCACAGACTATGCAAAGAATGATCATCCCTTAGCAATAGCTGATGTGACCAAACTGACTGCAATTTGAATGAGCTCACTTTTTTCAACTTTTTAAAATCTTTTTGATGTTACAGCTGACACTAGTATTACGCAGGCTGAGTCGATTTTGAACCAGATGGAAGTAAAGTCCATGCCCGGATTCAATAACATGATTCTATGCTGGGGATGTGGTATGTAAACCTTCAGGTCTTTCTACAGTCTATTACATCCAAAAAATCAGAAATGCAACTGCACAACCGTGATCTTGAATGGTGGATGCGGCGAAGGCTACTTCCTCATCGGCTGCGGGTACGTGTTCGACAACAAGAACGCTGCCGATGGGCAGCAACTCGTGGTATTGACGAAGAATCAATTTTAGCTAATCTACCTGAAGGCCTTCGAAGAGATATCAAACGGCATCTTTGTCTAGACTTGCTCCGAAAAGTCCCGCTATTTGAACACCTTGATGATTTAATCCTAAATAACATCTGCGACCGCCTGAAACCCGTTTTATTCATCAAGCAAGAACCGGTACGTTACTTCTACCACCTAAATTCATCCTTGACTACTCTTTTACCGATTACTTTCATGTAAAGCAGAGATTCCAAGCACTCACTTTGCATTTACATTTATCGATGATTTTTGCACTTACCAAGTTCTTTACTTTGTTAATGGCTCATGACATTCAACGTGCAGATAATATATGAGGGTAACCCAGTGCGCCAGATTTTGTTCTTCGTGAGAGGGAAGGTCTTAAGCATGTACAAAATTCACGACAACAAAATGAGTAACTGCACACTTGGCCCTGGTGATTTTTTTGGAGATGAACTTATTTCTTGGTGTCTAAGCAAGTCGACTGGACGGCTTCCTCTCGCTAATGCAAGTCTAATCACATTGGAAATGACGGAGGCCTTCTCGCTTTCTTCCAACGACCTCAAATACATTACTGATCATTTCAGGTATGTTCCCAGTAGAGTTTGACGTAGAAGCATCACTGCATACAAACATTTACACACGTGTGTGTGTGTGTGTGTGTGCATTTACATATATATAATATGTAATTATTGTATCCTTCGACAACTAATTATTTTAAGACCTCGCGAACTCTTCGAATGGTTCTGGGAGATAAACTTTAGCCTCGCAAGTAAAATTACTTCGCACATGACCTTGCAATAGTGCACCTGGACTGACGAACTGGTTTCTGCTCAGGTACAAGGTAGCTAGCGAACAACTAAAGAGAACCACTCGCTATTACTCAACAACGTGGCGGATGTGGGCTGCGATGGCTATCCAACTCGCATGGCGAAGGTTTAAGGCTCATCGGAGTAAATTTTATTCAGGCCCTTTGAACTTTGCCCCCCTTCATGATGGAAGTTCAGGACTTGATGCTGCGCAACAGGATAGGCTCCGAATGATTACAGCAATGATGACCTGTCCTAAACCCACAGACAACTGGGGGTTAAGATGATCTAGCTTATTAGCGTGAGTTTCTACTCACGCATTGCCGAAACCTTATATAGATGTATGCACCGTTGTGGGATTCATAATCCTGTGCTCTACAGGGGCTGAGTACACAAATTCCTCACGAGAGTCCCGTTGTGCCATTCGGGGGTCTTCAGATCCTGACAAAAGAGGCGATCTGGCGGGCTACCACACTACTGTCCACTTTAATTTAGTCCCAGATTCGAAACTAATAGACCGGATGTTCGACATAATGACCCTGAAGCAGTGATTCTCATCACCTAAAAATTGCAATGGCGGATTGTTGGCACGATGACATAAGCCCGGTCAATGAGACTTATTATTTCCACATGATCTTCGCATCGCAGCAATTACATTAACTAAGGTTTGCACTCTTGAGATCTTGAATGGTCCTTTATTGAGGTTGTATAGACGGGAGTAGAATATAAGAGATCGTACATAAACTGCATAGCCATCCCCAAGATCATCAATAGAGTCCTACTGACTGGCAGGAGTCACGCTACATGTGCACAGGTTCTCATATCTTATAATCCTGTAGGATGAGTGAATTTGGTATCACTCTGTCTCCGTTTCAATTAATCATTATTCAATTCATCTGGCTTTTCAATGACTTAGATTTTGGTTATGCGTCAGTGTGATATGGCGGCTTGGAGGATTTTTGTGCTGAAGCCAACTGAGGGTGGTGTATGCTGTTGTGCAAAAAACAGTATGAAGCTTTATAAATTTGTTATTCCCAAAGAAAATGACAGTTCTTTTCAAAAATATTTGATGTGTTTAAACATCTTATTAAATAATACCTGAAAAACAACAATGTTATCACAGTAACATGAGATACATTTTTTTTGGATTTTGTTTTCATTTTTGATGTTTTGCTTGAATATCAAAGTAAAATATGCTTAGTTATTATTAAAACGTTCTAATAAATCTTATATTGATTTTTTACCACTTATCACCTTTTTCAACTTTTCAATCATTATTATTTTTATTAGTATTCTATTTCTAAATTATAATATATTCAATATGTACCTTTTTATTGAATAAAATAAATTTGCATGCTTGTTTTTAGAAATATAAGTATGTATTAATATTTTAGTGTTGTATTTATTATGTATTAATATTTTATTATATGTATCTTTGATGTTGTAGATGAAAAATGCCTATTCATGTGTAAATCCTACTTTTTTATTATATAATATATACATGATAAATTTTACAATATGTACTAAACATATGTTGATATTAACTTCTCCTCTAAGACTATATCTTTAGTATTACAACATCAAATTATAATTTTAGAAAATAATAGAATAAGAGTGGTTTAAAGTTTTAATTTCTAGTTATATTTATAACTTATTTATGGCGTTGCTTGTATTTGACATCTTAAGTTAATAATCATTATTAAATTTGGTGGATTAAAGAAATTTTAAATAAACATAAAAATTAAACATTGTTAAAAGTTATAGTAACAATTGGAATAGATGTGAGAAGATTAGTAGAAACAAGAAAAATAAAGAGAGTAATAGATAGAGTTACATAGATTTAATATAAAAAATTAAGGTACAACTTTTGGAAGCAACTCATGACTATCTTTGTCTTTATTGTTAAAAGATATTTAAGAATGTATTAGAAATAAATGGCAAAGAATGTATATTTATATTTAATATTTGATACAATTTTAAAAAGAATTACAAATAAGTTCTACTCTATTTAAATTCATAATATAAAACTACTATTTTACTTGAATATTATACAAAGTTTTCTTCAAATTTTCTTAAGAAAAGAATCATATTAATATGAATTATTAAAAAAGATGTTCATCTCCTTATTAATTGCATGTTTTCTATATAACTATATTAAATATATAGTCAAATTTTGAAGAACTAACAAGGTAAACATATTAAATCATTAAATATTTTTATATTATAACATAACTTTTAGGTAAAAGATAAAATGAAGTATTAAATTATAAAAGATTTCATAGTAGCAAATTACTTAAGAAATATAGATAAAAATTAGAGGTAATAAAATTAAGAAGATAGTGCTAACTTTTTCTTTTGAATATATATATATATATATATTACTTAATTTGTAAGATTGTAAACAAGTCAAAATAATGTATAGATTAAAATTGGTGTCAAGTGGCTAAATTTTAATTAAAAGAGAAAGAAACTTTAAAAAAATCTTTAGAATTTAAAGAGTTATTATGGTGTGGCAAGTGATGTATTTAGAACGCACAATTAGAAGACATTTGAAGATATCACACTTTTTATTTTTGATGGTTCAAGCTTTAATGAATTAGAAGGTGATAAAAATAATCTATATATGAACTTAATCTATACAATTAGAGATGAAAATTTTGAGTATCATAAATTAGCAAAGCATCTATTATAAATTTTGAAGGACTTATATTATTTAAAAGGAAGAGAATTCGATGCCTTAAAGTTGTCATCAAACATAAAATCATAGAAAGCATAGAATTCATAAGTAAAGGATCTTGTAGAAAAATTTACAAAGAAAAGTAGTGAGGGATTTTGTATGCAACAAAAAAAAAATGCATGTTAGGCATAATAAGCTTTTTATTAGAAAAGTAAGCATTTTAGCTGATCTAAGTTATTTTAATTTCATTAAGTATTATTTTATAATAAAAGATGTCAATAATGGCAATAATCAATTTTGTGCTATTAAGAAATACAAATTAAATATTATATTTAGAAATAGAATTGCTGCAAAGAGGTTTAGAAAATGTATTGAAAAAAAAAAAAAAAAAACTATTTATTTATTTTTGTTGATATTATGTATCAAATTATAAGAAGAGTATGCCACTTATATGACATAAACATTGTACATTGAGATTTGAAACCAAACTATATTTTACTTAATATTATAGAAAAGTAATAATGATTGAAACTGCTGAATATTTTGATGTGAAATTGATTAGTTTTGAAATTTCTAAAATTGATGTTGGAAGGAATCCAAAAGCTACAAGTAATAATTATTACTATGATAGTATTAAATACATAGTTTGTGAAGTATTGAAAAATGTATTAGAATCAATAAACTTGTAGTTATTTGAAGTGGATGTATATATAGTTGCAATAGTATGTTCTAATATTGAATTTTGAATGGAAAAAATTTATAAGTATTTGCGAAAGATTGATGAAGTTGAAAAAAAAAAAAATTGATAGAAAGTAGTGTTGTTAAAACATTGCATTTTGGTTTATAGAAAAAGTAGATTTATCAAAATATACTACTATAAGAAACTTACAATAGGAAACCATTAATAAGACTCTTACAAATAAATATGCTAAATATCTATAGGATTTTTTAAATTAATTTTTATGTTGAAAAAATACTAAATTTTATAATTAATAATGATTAGATATCTTTGAATAAGTATGAGTTTGTAAAACTAGATACCTAATAGAGTTTTATTAATTATGGTTATTTTTATAAATATAGCTTGAATTACTTGAATAGAGATCATTGGATATAATACAATGTCTACTACATATTAAACAACTATCTGCAAATAATATAAAGGTAATATTTCTTGATAGTATAGATGGAATAAATAAGACCACTATGGCAAAGATTGCAATCAATGATACAAAACACACATATGGTTTATTGTGCTTTGGTGAATGTAGTGAAAGTGGGTGAGATTGCTTTATAATTTTTTGCAAAATCTTGGAAGAAATCAAATATAAATCAAAACCAAAAGATTTAGAAGAAGCTCAAAAAATATTGAAAGAATGCTTTACAAAGAATAAAATCATTCTAGTTTTTGATGATATAAAGAACTTAAACCAAATTAAAGATGTTGTGCCTATGGATGCATTGTTTATAAGCAATAGTAGTAAATTAATTGTAACAACAGAAGATTAGAAATTGAAATAAATATTGAAGAACTTTATAAAGAATTAAGTATGAGATTTATTACTTTTTTTTGTCGTTACAAAGAGACATTGTCTAATGAATTTGTTGAAATAGACAATGATATTATAAAATTTTGCAATAGCCTATACTTTGAGTTTAAAAGTCAAGGCTGCATTTTTAAGTAGCCAAAAGATATTAAAATATTATAAGAGAGATTTACAAAGGTTAAAGAAGAAAAGAAATTTGGATGGAGATAAAAAGAAGTGTAACAACAGGATCTAGAATATGTTAAGAATAAGTTTTGATAACTTGAAAGATGAAGAAGTGAACATGTTTTTAGATATATGTTATTTATTTGGTAGTAATATGTGTCTTTAAGGCATGTTAAAAGAAAGAACCTTACAAATATGGATTACCAATAAAGATAATATTTTAGAAGAAGTTGTAGGAAATACATTGGATAAAGTGATTCATCAATCATTAGTAAGAATAGATAAAGGTAGAAATATAAGAATGCATAATCAATTATAAGACAAAGATTGAATGATTATTGAAATTTAGTTAAATCACAAGAACACAAAAATGTATAACATGAATATAAAGCCATTAGAAAGATTTGCAAATAAAATATATTCTTGACTCTTATTAAAATAAAATATATAGAAAAAATGATGAAAATAATAAATTAATATATGGATATTATAAATATGGTACTTTTATATCATATTAAAATTATTTTCTATTTTTAAAGTAGACTTTGATAAGATTTTTTAATTTTTATTTTAGATTATTGTAAAATTTAGATGTACAATAAGCAAATTATAAGTGTGGTAAACTTAAAGTAATTATTTTTAGATAATATTTTTATAATATTAAAAAGATTATCTTATAAAAATTGAAGTAAGAATATGGTTATTAAAATTAAAATATTATTTTTTTAAGACTTCAAAAATTAAGCTTTAATAGTCATAGAATTGCATTATAAAATATTTGTAATGATTTGAGTAGTTTTTTTTTATATTGATAGAAAATTTTATTAATATTGAAATATTTATTGCTAAATTTTGATTTTAAAAGATAAGACAAAGAATTATTATAATATAGAGTATTTTAGCTATTACATATAAAATATAATTTAAAATAGTTCTAAAGATTAAATATTTTGGAATTAAAAAATTATAGACTTATATATAATTTTTCAGATTCATTTTTAAAAATTCCAATACTATTAGAACTTGATTTAGAAAGATATTATAGCATCATCAATCTACCTTCAAAGATGCTAATTTTTAATTTATTAATAAAACTAAAATTAAAAAATAGATTTATATTTAAAATAATTATTCATATCTATAATTATTTTTATTTATTTATTTATTTATTTTTATTACATTGGATGTGAAAGGGTGTTTAAGTTTGACATCATTTCCAAAATAATTGATCAACCTCACATCTTTGACTTTATTAAACATGGGTACATATTCAATCTTGAAATTATTGCCAACCAAATTAGTCAACATCATATCTTTGATAAATTTGCATATAAATAAATTCAAAATTTTAACATCATTGCCAAAATAATTAGGCAACCTCACATCTTTGATAAATTTATGTATAAGTGAATGAAAAAACTTAACATTCTTTTCAAAAGAATTTTGCAACCTCTTAGCTTTGACTACATTAAATATGTAAGTGTGTTCAAGTTTGATATTAATTCTAAAAGAATTGAACAAC